CACTTGATAAGACGATGATCGGGCAGCACTACGGCTCTTCGAGTAGAAATTCTCCGGTGAAACCGGGATGCTTTCTTGAAAACCGGGCTTCTCGCGGGCAGAGTTTCGGCTCGAAAACTTTACTTCTCGGGATCCTCGGGGCTTCGCTACTTGCTTCGGGTCTCGGGAATGATACCGGGGCTTCGGGGTATAAGTTGCACGCAAAACGAGGCAATAACAAGTGAGAGAGAAGAATTTGAGCACTAAAACTCGGCAGCCCACGACATCTATTTATAGGGGCTGATCCCTGCGATTACGCTGGGCGTAACTTCAGAGTACGCTGGGCGTACTCCCTCTACAAGCAGTACGCTGGGCGTACTTCGGTTACGCTGGGCGTACTCTTCGGATAAGCTTTGGTATGCGTGCCTCGAACTTCAAAAATTCATAACTTTCGCATACGAGCTCCGTTTTCGACGTTCTTTATATCCACGCGTAGGTGAGACTATGCTCTATAACTTTTATTTAGACTCCATCGGCTAATTTTGACTTTATTTTTATTATATTATTTTTAGTAGGCCGGGACAGGAAAACTCTGTTATACAATCATAACTTCTTCATCCGACGTCTGTTTTCGTCTGTCTTTTTACCGTTGGACTACTAACGACGAGATCTTCGATTCTCGTTTAGATTGTTTCGGCCAAATATCACTCGATCTCAATTTCGAGATTTGGGCTGTATACCGCTAAGTCGAAACTTAGAAAAATCATAACTTCCTCATACGAAGTCAGATTTAGACGTTCTTTTCATGCACGCTCTCGGTTTAACGAACTCTACGACTTTCATTTAGACCACTAAGGCTAAATATCGCTCTATCGTAAATTCACTATTTACGTCGCGTTGTGTCATGCCGGTTCTGTCGCGAAACTTCGACAGGTCATAACTTCTTCGTTAACTCGGATTTCGGCATTCTTTATATATCCGGAATCCTTGTCACGACCACTACAACTTAGTTAAGATTATTTATTCTAAATAATCTTCTATCAAAAAGTCGTTTTCGACACTTATTGTCTCTTAATTGACTAGCCCGAATCTGCGGGCGTTACATCCCTCCAGGAGACTCTGGTTATAATTTCAGGGCTTGGTTGGTACTTAGGTAAGTACTTGAAGTGTGTCTCACAAAGCTATACTGACGATTACGTGTGGAATAAATGAAAATCATTTTGTAATGAATAAGTGTATGTTCCATAAACTATACCTAATATAGTTTATATGTTTGTTGCTGTAGTGAAATCTGAACTTAGTAAAAGTAGTGCGTACGTTCCGTAAACTATACCGATTATAGTTCATATGTTCGTTTGTATTGTATCTCTGAATTTACTAATTTAGTAACAATGTTGTAAGTGGTACATAAACTATACCTATTATAGTTTATAAGTATGTTCCGTTGGTAATGTAAATACTTCTGAAAATTTTCCTTTGCTCAACATGTTACCAAGGTTTAAAGTTTTATACACACACTGATATATATATATATATATATATATATAATATATATATATATATATATATATATAGGGCATATATAATTGAATTTAAAAAGAAAGTCGAACAGTTAAATTTACTTTAAGCCCACAACCAAACAAGGAACAAGAGTTAAGGCAAAACACCAGTTCTAAGTCTGTTGAATCTCATATATATATATATATATATATATATATATATATATATATATATATATATATATATGTTTTGATAAAAACAATAGTTGAAACAGTTGAAATAATTTAGAATAACTTGGATCAGTCTAAAATAATTTGAAAACGTTTGAATGTTTACACAAAAACTTAATTGTGTTGTACTTGTATTCCCCCCTCCCCTAAAAACATGGAAAATAGTGAAAATGTAGGGGTATGAACTCACCTCGAATGTAAGTTCGTGTTTGGATGCGAAGTGGTAGCGATGATCCTCGGGTTAGAACCCGCGTGCGTAGTCGTGTCCTAATAATAATTATTCACGATATCGTATTTAAATTAATAAGATATTAATTTAATTAATAAATTAAGTGTTAGACAACACTTAATTATGCAAGGAAAATACTTACAAAAAGTGTTAGGAATTAAATGAGGGGGTTTCTTGGCGTTTTCGGTGTTCCTGGGGGTTTTCGGTGTGCTAGTTGTTTTCGGTGTGCAAGGTATTTTCGGTGTGATTGAAGATTTGAAGATTGTTCTTGGTGAATTTATGAAGATTTGAAGGTGGGATGATGATTTCGGTTGAAGATTTGAAGGTCTTCAGATGATACTTGAGAGCAAATGGGAGTGTTTACGGTTTGGAAAGTTGAGAAATGAATTGTGTTCACGGTTGAACACGTATATATAGAAGAGGTTTTCGGTCTAAGATCCACCGGAATCAATGTGATTTCGGTCTAAATCCCACCGAGAACAAGGCTGTTTTCGGTCCTTAAGGTTCAACCGAGGATGAGTTTTTGGTCAACAAAAGAGATTTCGGTGAGGGTTTGCGGTCCGAAGGTGGGACCTTGCGAGGGTTTTCGGTGGGGATGATTTCGGTTTGCATGAATTCATTCATTTTTCATTTTTTTTGTTAGTGATTTCGGCCAAGGTGTTTTAAATCCCAATTATTTAAAACACTTATATAATAAAATAAGTTCTATATATTAAACCATATTTAAGCCTTACCAATTTAATAAATTAACAATTTGACTTTTATTTAGCAAGTTTTACTTTTGTTGACTTTTATTGACTTGAAAATAACGAGTTGTTACACATCATCATGATCTCATAACCCTTTTTGATGGGAAAATGCATGTCCAGACTCTTTCTTGATATAGAAATCCATTTAGGCCAGGGGCTCTACCCCTTGACCCCGCAAGGGGTGCTGCCCCTTGGAACCATGTACCCAACCACACAATAATTCACCAAGTTCGCAAACCACGACATGTATTAATAACAAGTATATGCTCACCTGGGAAGTTCACTTGAATAAGTCTTGGAGATGAGCTGTCATCTAAAAAAATCATGGATAAGAGGTCTACTATCGTATTTTCGGAACCTTCTCTTTCACATATTTCTAAATCAAACTCTTGAAGAAGAAAGATCCATACAATGAGTTATGGGTTGACATCCTTATTTTCCAAGAGGTGACAGACGACACCATGATCGGTATAAAGACAACTTTAGATCCTAAGACACCCCTCTCTAGGGCAGGTTAAAATAAATTTCATATAAATTGATTGTAAATCTCAAAAATGTTTTTAAGTTCAAAAGTGTGGAATAATGGTCCTAAATACCAAAATCAAAGTTTAAAAATTTAAAAAGAGCCCGGTTGTAACAATTTCAATACCATAACATAGTTCAAATTATACCATACAAGCCATGATGTTCAAAATTTTCTCAATGGATTCTACATATTTCTAGGACTTCAATCGTAGTATATGTCAAATTATAGTTAGGCAATGAAATGCTTAGTGAGAATAACCAATGTTAACTCAGTTAGAGTAAGTAATGATAACAATCATTACAATCCAGTAAAACATTCAAGATTAACTCAAAATTAACAAAATTTACGACATTCAATAATCTCAAATCAAGGGTTTGAAGACACAAATGTCAAAGTCAAAGGTAAATTGAAAAGTCACTGTCAAAATCAAAAGGTTTAGTAACACATAATTCTAAGTCAAAGAGTCTGATAACCTATATTCCAAAATCAAGGGATTTAATAACTTATAATCTAATACTAAGTTCCTATACAAAATTCTAACAATGGTCAGCCAAATGATCCAACAATACAATTAACAATGGGGATAATTCAACATACAATGATAATAATGCAATACACATTTATCCCAATTCACAGTAGATCTCAAGTTCCAAGCTCACACGGGTGGTTCAAACATGGTTAGTGTAGCCAACAATTGATACTATTAAATCCTCCATCTAGGCATCTTGTATGGTTAGTGTAGCCAACAATTGATACTATTAAATCCTCCATCTAGGCATCTTGTGAACCAACATACAAGACTCACCCAATGCTTAACTACAACTACTAAAAAAAAGTTGATTAACAATATATATATATATATATATATATATATATATATATATATATATATATATATATATAAAACAAGTAGTACACATTTTTTAGTTAACAACTTCCATTTGATTTTGTTTAATTCTTGTCTAACACCTAAACCTTCCTCAACTATCTTCATCATGTAAATGCTTAGTTCATTTTCCAACGAAACAATCTTCAATTCAAAATTACTTGCTTCCATCTCATATTTCTTCTCAACCTTGAACTTCTTATTTTGATCGACTAAGATACAATGATTCCACGAATTTGTAAGTTCTGGATCCACCCATCCCTTAAAAAACATTGTCCCTTGGTTTTCTTAAAAACGAAAAAAAGTTAGTGAATGAAGACATTTGTTGGTCCAGTTTAACTAATAGTGTAATGCTACCCAAGAGTTATGGCTCACCCTAAAGCTTCTTCCATAGTTATCTTATGTGAAAAATGTCCACATTCGAGATGATAATTGATAAGCCACAATCACAAGGATATTCAGCTCACACCACAGTATTTTAGTTTGAAAATGTAAAGGATGAAGACATTGTTTGATTCTCCTCATTCGTTCAATTTTACAGCAAAGAATATACATGTTAGAAAGTATATATAAGTTCCCATTTTCATATCGGTCCGTTCGCAACCATCTAGATGCCATACAAGATTAACCTGTAATTGTAATACCCAAATAATTTTTTAACAAATCTAATAATTCTAATCATAAATCATATAAAAAATTATTATTCTATCAAGTAGTTAACCATTTATTTTACAACCTAATCATCTATCTAATATGGCTTGATTAATAAATCATTTTTTTTTATGAAAGTGGACGAGAGAATTTACTTATTTACAGTCAGGGGGTCCATTCCTCCTGCCAACTCAAGCCCCCCTATTAAAAATTCTGACGTCCCCACCACCATCACCCCCACCTCCACCACATCTGCTCACCTATCAGTCCCTCTCATTCCCTTAGATTTCTTCCCCCCCTCCCATCTCTTCCGTTAATCTCGCCGTTTCTTTTAATACAAAACCCAATCTAAACTCTTACTTTTCCTCCCTAAACTCCAAAACATCCCCACCACCATGCCTCCGGCCACCGCCCTCTTTCTACTCTCACTCCTCTTCTCCCCTTCCATCTCCTTCCCCTTCGGTAACACCTTTACATACATATCACTAATCTCTATTACTCTTAACTAATTTTTGATTTCTAACAGTTTCATTGTGTGCTTTTTGTGTAGACACGGCTTACCATATAGACTGCGGCAGCTCCACCACCACCACCGATAAATTCAACACCACTTGGTTATCCGACCGTTACTTCACCGCCGGTTCTAACGGTCTTGTTTCTGAACCGCTTCTCTTCCAATCGTTCCATGAGAAGACGCTCCGTTACTTTCCTATCTCATCCGGTAAAAAGAATTGCTACATTTTCCCGGAGCTTCCTTCCGGGCGATACTATCTTCGGACTTTCACTGTCTATGATAACTACGACGGCAAATCTCATTCTCCGAGTTTTGACCTGTCGGTCGAGGGAACTTTGGTATTCTCTTGGCGGTCGCCGTGGGAAGAAGACATCAGCCGTTACGGTGCTTACTCGGATCTTATATTTTTTACTTCCGATGGTGACGCCGATGTGTGTTTTTACAGCATTGCTACTGATCCTCCGGTGATCGGTTCTCTAGAACTTATCCAGATCGATCCAGCTTCGTATGACCCTGTTTTGACCGGTAACGACTCTTCAATTCTCGTGAATTATGGCCGGTTGACTTGTGGTTCGGGCCAATGGGGGCCAGGGTTTAGCAACGACACCGACGTTTTCGGCCGCGCGTGGCAATCTGACGCTAAATTCCGGTCGGCGAACTCCATAGGGATTAAATCGGTTACGGCGGTGAGAAACGTGATCAATACGGATACGAGTCCTAACTATTTTCCTGCAAAATTGTACGATTCCGCCGTGACCTTGACGGGAAAAGGAAATTTGGAATACGAATTGCCTGTGGATGCAAAACTTGATTATCTGGTTTGGCTTCACTTCGCTGAAATTGATGTGAGCGTAAATCAAAAGGGGAAAAGAGTGTTTGACGTGATCATAAATGATGAAAATGTCACCAGAATCGATATATTCAAAGAAGTTGGGGGTTTTGCTGCGTATAGTTATCATTATGTAGCTAAGAATTTGAGTAGTACTCCATTGATTGTGAAGCTTGTACCTGTCATTGGATCACCGTTACTTTGTGGGCTTGAAAATTACGCCATTGTTCCAGCTGATGTCATGACTGTGCCTGAGCAAGGTATGAGTTCACTGATGCATTTCTTCTACATATTCATGATAATATTACTGATAAAGGAGTAATAATTGTTTGTTTACAAACTGTGGTGACTTCTTTTTGCAGCTTCTGCTATGCAAGCACTAAAGGAGTCATTACGCGTTCCTGAAAGAATGGGTTGGAATGGTGATCCTTGTGCTCCTACTAATTGGGATGCTTGGGAGGGTGTTACTTGTCATCCCAATAAGGATGAATCTGCTCTTGTTATCTTCCAGATGTAAGAATTCATTTCCTGCTTATGTGAACAAGTGAAATTTATGCAATTTTCTTAGAGGGTTTATGAATTTACACATGTTTTTTTGGAGATATGCTAGTAATTTGTTGATACACATTATATATTATGCTTGCAGAGATCTTGGGAGCCAAGGTTTGAAAGGCTACATTAGTGATAAAATTGATCTTCTCACTAACTTGGTAAGCTTGTAAGTATCATCTGCCAGATCCTATTCTGTTTAAAACAAATATTCCGAATAAATCCCTCATTTTTTTGGTTATATCCTTTAAATACAACTGCAGGAACTTAAGCTCTAACTCATTAGGAGGCACTCTACCAGCAGGGTTGGGGCAAAATTCTCTTAAGAAACTGTAAGAATTTATTGATTCAAGTTTTTCTCTTAATTAATTTAAGAAGATTTATGTCAGCTTTCTTATAGAACTGCATTTAATAAGTTTTTGAGTAACCTAATTGACTATCAATACGTATGCAATACACAAGTGATGTTTATTGTTGTTCAAGGAAGAAGCATATTTCATCTGCTTTTTCTTTCCTAGATACTATAGTATATAGGAACTTACCATGTATGTACTTATTAGCTTTCCCAAAATAAGTTTAGGATTCTAATTGTTAGCATTATAAATAGACTTTTTTCATTCCACTCGCAATACCTTTTCATCATCGATTTTTTTAGTAATATTTGTCTAGTGCCTTGTGGTTTTCCACCCAATTTTCTGTGTTCTATTTTGTTCGTTTATCACGTGTGGTTGCTGCTGTTTTCATCTATATGTAAAACATATAATATTTAATTTATTGATGCTAAGGAAGAGAAGTAAAAGATAAAAGGGTAAATCTTGATAACAATCTCCACCAAAATCAAAACTTTTTAACAAAATAAACAACAAACTTAGTAAACAAAGTCAGCCCACTTCCAACTGTTCCAAAATGGAACAAATATCGATAATGTTGTATTGTAATTTGTAAGTTGTAACTCACTATTTTAACAAATAATGCACAGGGATTTATCCAACAATCTGATTTCTGGGTCCATACCAGATAGTTTAACTTCTTCAAATCTACAACTCGTGTAAGCTCTCTCTCTCTCTCTCTCTCTCTCTCTCTCTACTTCTTATCCGCATTTTCAGAACTAACAAACCGATATTCTTTCTCACTTTTCAGGCTCTTAAATGGTAACAAACTTGAAGGACAAGTGCCAGAAGAGCTTTACTCAGTTGGTGTCCATGGTGGAGCTATCGAGTATGTCACTTTTAATAATACTACATATAATATTTCATTATTATTAGACAATTTACTTATTTATATATTGCATGCAGCCTTTCTGGTAACAAAGGATTATGTGGTGTACCTTCTTTGCCAGATTGTCCCATGTTTTGGAAAAACGGCGGCCTATCAAACAGCGGTAAAATTGCAGTAGGCGTATCATGTGGTGTCCTGTTTTTATTTGTGGCGGTGATTATATACATTTGCATAAGAAGACGCCGCAATGACTACGACTTTGGTCTACCTCAAGAGTTGATGTGTAAGTAAACACATCTTGTCTGGTTGGGTTGGGTTCAGTATCTCTGAACCCAACCCAACCTGACACAGTTCTAATTTAGAACTTCATTGATTTTTTTTTTAACGAATTGTTTTTTTTTTTTTTTGTTTTCAGCACTTGCGGCAAAGAGGAATAAGTATCAGAGACAAAAATCATTGATGGCTCTTGAAATGGAGAGTCAACATGCAAAAGGGTTTATACCGAGTTATAATTGAAATTAACTTTATTTGTGATATAGCATAATGGTCAACAGGACTGGACTACAAAGGGAGGAAGTGATTCGATTCTTGCCACCCGGCTGACTAAAAACTCATTAACCAACTTGTCAATATGATACGATGTGATGTTCGTGTTTTTTTTTTTTTTTTTTTAATTTATTTTTATATATAAGTTTTATAGGCGATTTCCCAAATGCCACTCATGTATCATCGCTCAATTTTCGGCATTTGATGAATGTAGATCTTAAACTCAACATGTTGAATCCATACAGATAAAGTAATTTTTGCGTTCATGCTTTGGGTTTTACAATTTTGAAACAACAATTAGGGTTTTATCATTTGGAAATGTATAACTAGTGTTTTGCTATGTCTGGTAACTTTTAATTTGGGGAGCTGGAGGTATAATAAAAATTGAAGAAAGGGCCACAGCCCAAATTTTATATTTTTAGGCTTAGTATATATAAAATTTAATAGGTATTTATACTTCTAACCAAAAAAAAATAGGTGGACCACAACTCCGTCAGGTCCTAAAGAAGGTGCTAAGTCTAAACTAAGAGTTGTATATTTGAATAAGAAATAATGCGAAATTCCATAAGTCTAAACTAAGAGTTGTATATATTTGAATAAGCAATAATGTGAAATTCCCCAGATATGACGAAAGCAAGTATTTTATTTATATATTGGAAAATGACTTAAAATGTTAAACCAATAATCTGAAATTTGCACTTTTTGATCATTAAAATTTTAATTGTATTCAATAAGTAAACTAACTTTTTATTTTGGTTTTAAATTACCAACAATTATGATTTTTAAAGGTTAAAATGACAAAGAACACTGTTATTGACTAATAGCCTATTATAGTCATTTTCTCAAAACACAGTTTAAAATTTTTACCAATTAGGTTACAAGACAATATGACATTGCTAATGGTTATCAAGTGTGGTTTGAGGAAAATAATTACAAAAGGCTTCTAGTTTCATGTGACAAGGGCATTAGCGGTATTCTTTTTCATTTTAATTGATAAAAATCATAATTGCTGCCATTTTAAAAACAAATTAAAAAGTTTGTTTAATTACATGACAATATGATATTGCTAATTGTTATCAGGTGTGGTTTGAAAAAAAAATGATTACAAAAGACTTCTAGTTTGATGTGACAAGGGTATTGAATGTATTCTGTCATTTTAATCGATAAAAATCATAATTGTTGGTATTTTAAAAACAAATTAAAAAGTTTGTTTTCTTATTAGATAGAATTAAAAGTTTAGTTACTAAAAAAAGTTTTTTTTTGTTATTGGTTGCTATTTTAAATCATTTGATATAAAAGAAACAGTGTAAGGAACTTACTGTGAAGCCATTTCAAACCCAAATTCCTTGAAGAAAAGTTTCTCGACGGATAAACTATTGAGTTCGTAATGTAGATTCTACATTACAAATTGTAGAATAGTGTCTAAACAAACCAGAAATGTTCCTTAAATAGTGGTAACAATTTTTAATTATTATTATTATTATTATTATTATTATTATATTATTATTATTATTATTTTCCCTTTAACATTTCATAATAACGATGTTGTGAAATACATGGTCATTTTGTTTTAAGGGTTAGAAAAGGTATACAATCTATTAAATGAATTCTATTATTTTGGTATTTTTGCGATTAGCACTTTAGTTAGAAAAAAAAGAAAATAAAAGATGAATCATATATAAAATAATAACCTGAAAAAGAAAAAATGGATGTTTCTAAATCATAAATTATGCGGTTCCAAAATGTATTGAAATGTGACCAACTTGTGCAAAAGCAAACAAAGAGAATCATTTTCTTCAAGTTCTTATCCCTTTGCATCAACATGATATGGAGGCAAATACGTCATCTCAACCAATACGATTCCTTGTGTTTCCATGGTTAAACAACGTATAATGTTCGAATCCAATAATAGCAAGTTTGACTAATTTTCTTTTCCTACAGGTGGAAGGAAAAACTTGAAGCGAGTTTATAAGGAATCATTTCTCAATAATATCCAAAGACTTTAGGGGGTTGAAGGATGAGTCAAACCCATGTGCTCGATTATCTCTTATTTTTACACTAAAATTATATTAGATTTTAAAACCTAATTTATCACAATTACCACTAAAAGATAGTGAACCTCATCGTATAATAGTAAATAAGGATATCAAACATTTGGGGAATGGATAAGATTCAGTTTCAGATTTTTTTTTTCTTTTTTTTGCTATTAATTAAACTAAAGTAAATACTACTAATGAAGAATTTTCTGACTTTAAAGTTCAGTAACTTAATTCCTAATAACAGTGTACTCAAACTAATAAGATTGGGCAAATTAATTTTGTAAACAAGATGTTAAAAGATATTTCTGTTTAGATTCGATTTTTCTCTCTATTATGGTTGATTTCTTTAATAGTGCAATGGGTTGAATTTCGTTAAATATCGATTCCTAAGTTGATTAGTTTTCTAATCAGATTACCAATCCTTCAATTTTAATAGATTATTAATACAGTGATCAATTGCATTAATTACTCTAAAAATTGGTGTTTAATTCGGAATATGAAAGACTTCATTTGTTATTGAAATTGTTGATTAATTCAGTTAACTATATAAAGTAGATCATTATGTATATTCTTACACATTAGAGTTACCGATTTTACTATTTAATCTAAGGTTTTGATTAAAACACTAATCATACATCTCTATAATTCATAAAATTAGGGTTCATTAATCTAAATATTATCAGCAATAAACAATAAAAACATCAACTTTAATACATAAGGATTTTTATCAAACATTCATATATTACAAGTAACTTATTCAATATAAAATTATCGAAATCAACACAAAACTTTGAGGTTCATCTACTCTAAAAGAAAGTAAAAGATTTTTAGTCCATAATCATATTAGATACACAATTGAAAATCAAAAAAACTATGCTAGACATGATTAAAATAACAAAACCAAATGATTCCAATACGCTTTTTCGCTTGATTTCTTCGGATCTTGTTCCAATATTGATCTCTCTTCCAATGCGCTTCTTCCCTTGATTTCTTCTGTCGCAATTCTTCGAATTAAGAACTTCTTTCTCCCTAAAAGTGAAAGTATATCCATATTTATGAAGTTTCTTTCTTTTAAAAGTTCGCACCTCTAAAGAGTATTTTCGCATCGCTAAACGTTATCTTATCATGTGTTCTTCAAGCTTCAAACAACATATTATGGTTATCACTTCATTACCATATTCGCGTCACGAAGAGCTGATAATCACGACGCTAAATATCTTCACGCCAAACTTTTATATCTTCAATATTTTTGCTATTTTTCCTTATAAAATGTGGTAATTTGGTTCCTTTTTAATCAAAGGCATTTTAAAAGCTACAAAACGAAAAATAAGCTATTTAAGTATTATTTTCTTTCTTTTTATACTAAAATTAGACGAATTCTCGCGCGTTGCACAGGATTGCAACTATGTTGTTAAAGTATGTTAGAATTTAAGATTAACCTACGTTTTTATATCATTTCCACATCGTTATCAAAAACTTTTATAAACACGCAATTTGTCAACGAAATTAACTAAATGATAGTTTAATTAATTTTTGAAGATAAGTTATTTATCCAATCGTAAAAAACGACGGATATGCTATATTAATATTATGATAAAGATCATAAAATTGATATATTTTATCGAGATTATATGCCCAAAAGTTACTTTATAATGAAGTACAAATGAGATTCTAAGATATTTTTTTTGCTGAATATGTCATTTGTTTATGTTCGATTGCAATAGAAAGTTAAATTTTAAGGTTGATAAAACTTAAACAGTGTTAATGACATATTCTAACTAGAGCTGACAAAAAGCAATCCAACCCACCAACCCAACCTGAACCCAACCCAAAATTAGCAGGTTGGATTTAGATTTCAACTCATTTAAGTTAAATGAGTCAACTCGTCTAACCCATTTAGTTAAATAGGATGGGTTGGGTAGATATTACCAACGTATTTTCAACTCGCCAACCCATTTAACTTTAATATATATATATATATATATATATATATATATATATATATATAATATAATAATTATTCAAATATTATCATGTATTAATTTATAAATTATGATATTGTATTATTATTATTCATGTGCAATCATAATTTCCATCTTTTTTCTTGGCGCAAACAATACTAGTCATCCTCCAAAATCACTTTAGATTAAACATTTTGATGTTTTTGAAAATTTTATTTGTATTTATAAATTAGGATTGTGCTTTTTTCATATTTTGAAATTTTATGTAAGTTTACAATTAATTTGACTGGTGCAATCTTTAGTTATTATTATTATTATTTTTTTATGATTTTAAATGGTTTAACCCATCTTTAACCCATTTATTTAATAGATTGTGTTGGGAACTAAATAAATAGGTGAACAGAGTGACAGTCCATTTATCTTTAAAGGTTGGGTTGAGTTGGAAATATCAACCCATTTAAATAAGTAGGTTTGGTTGGGTTGAAATCTCTAACCCAATTATTAAATGGGATGAACTCGAACCCAACCCAGGTCGACCCATTGTCAGCTCTAATTTTAATGTACCAAAACTTTATATATTGAAAGTTATGATATAAAAATGAGTTAAGTTGTTGAAATTATAAAATGGTAATTATAAATGAAATAATAATAAAAATAAAATAAACAAATGGTGTGTGTGTATATATATATATATATATATATATATATATAGATCCGATAAGAAGGAAATATATGGTAGGAATGTAAGAAGTTTTTTTTTTCTACATATTTTTTTGGCGAACCAAAAAATAAATTGTTGGATGAATAAAAAATAACATGAATCATAAAAAAAAAAAATTCTCAAAAAAACATTTCGATGATTCAATTTTGCGTTGATTTTGTTCCTATACACTAAAATTGTCATAAAAATGAATTTTTGCTTGACTACTATAAAAGGAATCATGAATGTGTTTTTTCGGGAATTTTTTTCTTGTGAATCATATTTGTAACGACTCAAAAATCACAACAAATTTAAACGTTTTAAAAACAATCCATAGTCATAAAATGTTTACAAAATCATTGTTCCCAATTTTTTTTATCAACATTAGAGTATCCCAAAATCATAAAGCCATAAAATAGAGGA